ATATATAGAAAAAATTAGCCGGGCATGGTGGCGCATGCTTGTAGTCTCAGCTACTCGGGAGGCTGAGGCAGGAGGATCGCTTGAGCCCAGGAATTTGAGGTTGCTGTGAGCTAGGATGATGCCACAGCACTCTAGCCCGGGCAACACAGTGAGACTCTGTCTCAAAAAAAAAAAAAATTTAAATGGTAGTAAACACTGTCTTCCTGGACTGATTTTGAAAATAGTATTATGAAGTTACAGGTGTCTATACCTAATACTTGAGTGACTTCTTGTTCACTTTTCTCTTTTACCCCCTACCCCTGCATATAATGAACATCACCATTACTTTGTTGAAAGAAAGAATTGCTGTCACAAGCAGTATATATTGCTTGACATATTTTGAGGACTTTATACTCAATTTTTCATTTCTGTCCACTTTGGGCAAATGGTTGATAGCAGCTTGTAACTTTTTTCTTTGAATTCTAATTTGAAGGGAGGTCAATACTTTGCTTTAACAAATCTTTTTATGCTCTTACCAGCTTGCAATTAAATTCCATAATGAGATTATGTCATGTTTAGGATTATATGTTTTAGATTTATTTATGAGAGTTTAGTACTTCTTTTTTTTATAAGTATCAATTGATTTAATTCATATTTTGGTCTCTGCTGCTATGATAAATTTAGATTTTTATCTGTTAGTTAAATTCCAATTTGTTTTCTCCCTAGATGCACTCACTGAAAGGTGAAACATCAGTGGCAAATGGCAGCCAGTCAGAAAGTTCAGTGTCTACTCCATCTGCCTCATTTGAACCTAACAACACTTCTGAAAACTCTCAGTCCAGAAATGTAGAGCTTTGTGAGACATCACCCACTTCTCCTGAAACAAAGTCAGATACTGCAACAGGTAACTTTTAATGTACCTTTTTGGGCACAATAGATGGACTCCTTCACTTCATTTTAAAGGCCATAGATTAATATTTTTAAAAATAAATACATCGTATGTTTTTTTCTTCACATTCATTTAACTTAAAATTTAAGTTACAATTTAAGAGTTGTCTTAAATACAAGTATGTATGTATCATTCAGTGGCAGAAGAGGATGAAGTCAGTGAATGTCCCCTTCACTCTCAAATAGTCAACCATCCAGAACAGTTGACTTATAATTTCTGCTATTATGCTATGGTTCAAGGAAAGTCATGACACTTAGCAGTTTTATAAATCTCTTAACTATTCTAGAGGATTTTGAAAGGTTCAAATGAACTAATATATTTGGAATTGTTTTTGTAACATCTACAATGCTGTATACATTTAAGAGAATAGTATCTTTTTTTTAATTAGAAAGGTAATTATGAAATAGAGCTTACAGAAATGAGAGGTGTGACTGCAAAGGGGTTGACAGAAAAGGCAAAAGAGAAATTTCATACTGTATATTTGGGATTGTGGTCAGTTGTTTGGTGTAATATAACTTGTATTAGGCAACAAAGGGGTAGATAAGAATTTAGAATGTTAATATCCTAAAAGGTGATCCTACTGCAGCATCCCAAGCAGATAATCATTAAGCCTGTATTTGAATACATTCAATAATAGGAGGCTCATTACCTTGGTAGGAAGCCTATTTTGTTGTTGAATAGCTCTGGTTTTTAGAAAGATTCTTCCTTATATTGAACTGAAATTTGATGCTCTGTATCTTCCTATTAACTTTAACGCTTGCTTTATGGAGTTACACATGACAAGTTTTGAATATTTGAAAAATAGCTATCATTCTCATTTTGAGGTTTTACATCCACAGATTATTCAAATTCTGGATGCATACAGAACTGGGGATTTCTATTACGGATGTAGTTCATTTAGATCTACAATAGGATAATTATCTTTTATATTTACCTGAATATTTATCATTTCTGAAAGTCTTCATTCCTTTTTGGAGATGTATGTTTCCCTCTGGTGTAATTTCCCTTTAGCCTGAAAATTTCCCTTTAGCATTTTCTTATTGTACAGATCTGTAATTTTGTTTTATTTGAAACTATCTTTGGTGTTTTTTTTTCTTTTTTTGAGACAGAGTCTCACTCTGTTGCCCTGGCTAGAGTGAGTGCCGTGGCGTCAGCCTAGCTCACAGCAACCTCACACTCGTGGGCTCAAGCGATCCTACTGCCTCAGCCTCCCGAGTAGCTGGGACTACAGGCATGCACCACCACGCCTGGCTAATTTTTTCTATATATTTTTAGTTGTCCGATTAATTTCTTTCTATTTTTAGTAGAGACGGAGTCTCGCTCTTGCTCAGGCTGGTCTCGAACTCCTGAGCTCAAACGATCCGCCCGCCTCGGCCTCCCAGAGTGCTAGGATTACAGGCGTGAGCCACCGTGCCTGGCCTCTGGGCAATATTTATATTACACTATTTTAGTTTGTAGTTTGTATTAGAGTCCAATATATTACTATTGGTTGATGAGTTTTTAAATTTAATATATAGATTCCCACTCTCACTGATAGTTTTTCCTATAGTTTCCTATGGTGTGAATTTTGCTACATCCCTGTGATTAGGTAAGTGTTCCTTTGTCCCCTTTATTTCCTCTAAATTGGTAAAGCTGATCAGATTCAGGTTCATTTTTTATTTTTTATTGACAAGACTACTTTATAGGTGATAATGTATATTTCTATCAGGAGATACATTATGCCTGATAATCCAGTTGACTTTTTAAAACTAAAGGCAGAACTTTCCCTAATAAATTTTCATTATGTTTGCATTTTATCAGTTGTTTTAGCTTATTTAGGTTTTTTTTTTTCAATCCAGAACTTTCATTTAGGAATTAGCAGTTAAATGTGAGTGCTAATAAGTGATTTCATCCAGTTTTAGGTCACCCATAAAGTTACAAATGTACATTCTACATCTTCAAGTTGTTTATAAAATGCCAAAGACAGAGAACTCTGTGACATACCATTGGAAATATTCCTCTGTATGACATCTATCCATTTCTCTCTGGTTATGGGTCTTAGATCCACCTAACTGTACTTATCTAGCACTTTTCTCCCCCAGCTTGTCCACAAGTTACCTACAAAAGTTTTGTTACATTTGTTGCTGATATCAACATTTATTATATCCTTGGCATTCATCTTATTTACTAAAGAAAAGGTGGTTAATTTCCTACTAAACGCATACTGGCTGCTAGTGGTTATCACTTATTCAAGGGTTGTATTCAGTGGTGTGCTGGTAAATGTTTAACAGAGGCTCCATGGAAGCTGAATGCCCTGTCTGTAGTATTTGGCTAATTTTCAAGGTTTAAGTACTCCCACTATGACTGATTTCAAGCTACCTAGGTAATGCTACTGAATGCAGAGGTAGGAAGAGATGTGTACCATCTGCTCTACTTAGTAATACTAATTATTTTTACTACTGCTGTGGTAACTAAAGCACTATGTGCCTGTCTAGGTAAAGTTCTAAGCATTTTACTTGTATTAACACATATTTCTCATAATAACCCTATGAGGTTACTATCCCCATTTTACAGATGAGACAGAGAGTTTAAGTAACTTACTGAAATGACAGAACGAGACTTGGACGCAGGCTTTGTGGCTCCGTAGTCCTTGTTCCTCCAGAGATAATAACTGTAAAGGAGAATCAAGTTGGTGGCAAGTGGCAAGGAAGGAAGTGATAGAGGTTCTAAAAGGAAGTTCTGGGCCATAACTGTCCTCTAGAACAGGCCAGGACAAAATTCTGTCCTTCTGGAAATCCTTAAAAGAATACTAGTATAGATATAAAGAGACTCTCTAAGGAATCACTTTGGTCAGCAGAAGCAGATCCCTTGGACTAATGTAAGTCTAGAACCATATCCAGGGTTAAACCAGGACTCTGTAGCTCACTGTTCAATATGATAGCCACAGCCACATGTGGCTACTTTAATTAAAATTAAGTACAATTAAAAATTTAGTCCCTTGGGCCTGGCACAGTGGCTCAAGCCTGTAATCCTAGCACTCTGGGAGGCCAAGGCAGGAGGATTGCTTGAGGTCAGGAGTTCAAGACCAGCCTGAGCAAGAGTCAGACCCCGTCTCTACTAAGATTAGAAAAATAAGCTGGGTGGTGTCACATACCTGTAGTCCCAGCTACTTGGGAGGCCGAGACAGGAGGATCGCTTGAACCCAAGAGTTTGAGGTTGCAGTGAGCTATGATGATGCCACTGCACTCTACCCAGGGCTATAGAATGAGACTCTGTCTCAAGAAAAAAAAAAAAAAAAAGAAAAGAAATTGAACTCCCCTTCCCACTCCCCCTCCCATTTTTTTTAAAAAAAAATTTTAGTCCCTCACTGGCTGTGCACAGTGGCGTGTACCTGTAATCCCAGCACTTTGGAAGGCTGAGGCAGGAGTATCACTTAGGCCAGGAGTTTGAAACCAGCCTGGGCAACATAGTAAGAAGCTGTCTACAAAAATAAAAAAGTTAGCCAAGCATGGCACATGCTTACAGTCCCAGCTACTCAGGAGGCTGAGGCAGGAGGATCGCTTGGGCTCAGGAGTTAGAGGTTGCAGTGAGCTGTGATCACACCACTACCCTCCAGCTTGGGCGACAGAACAAGACCCTTTCTCAAAAAAAAAAAAAAAAAAAAAAAATGTAGTCCCTCACTCAAAGTAGCCTCATTTTAAGGGTTCAGTAGCCACATGTGGCTGGCTAGTGGCTACTGTATTGGACAGCATAGATATGGAATAGTTCTACTCTAGAGTGAAGCCTACCCATAGCCAGGCATACCTCCTACTGGATTGGTATTTCATGTTTTACCTCTGACCTCTACCTTGGTGTGATATTCAACTGGGTAACTGCCTTATTTCTGTTTGTATACTATTTTATCCAGATCCAAACTTCAGAATTAGTAATAGCTCATTTCTTATCTCCTACTCCATTCTTAGGGGAAATATATATAATGTTTAAGAAACAAGATTATTAATAGATGTTATAATCTAGAAGTTTTATACCTTTAAAAAATTGTGTTAAATACAATATTCTTTCTTTTTATTTAATAATTAAGGAGGAGAAAGTTCCGGCCATGCCACTCTGTCTCAGGAGCCTAGTGGATGTTCCAATCAGAGACCTGCGGAGGACCTCGCTGTCCGAGTGGAAAGGTTTGCTCTTATTTTTACAAATAGCATTTTGTTTAAAAAGACAGTGGTTATTTCATTAATTTGAATAAAAGCTAAAATTACACAAATGAAGTTTAAGAATTTTGGGTTGAAATTTTTGATCACCCGACCAACTTATTTATAGTCATAAAAATTATACTCTAGAGGTAAAGCTTTTCTGTGTTTCTGAAGTCATCAGTCAGCTTTAGTTCTGATCTTTCTAAGAATTACTCTTTTACTGGTTATTTTGGTACATGTGTGTTTCCATCTGTCACTTCTGCTTTTATCTTTCTGTGCCATAAGAACATTAAGTTCCAGATGGGCAAGAACTTCAGCTCATTTTATGACTATGTACTGAGCTTGGCTTCTGCGTAAGTGGGTGTCAACTAAATGTCATTTTTTATGAGTTGGCCTAATAATCAGATACACATTTCTGACTTGTAGTTTCTACTTCAGTATTTATTTTTAATGATGCAGTAATTATCAAATCATATTTTTTTATGCTGTGATTCTCAAAAGTTAATATGAGTTAATTGGTAAGCAGGAATATTTTCAGTCCTGCTTAAAATCATTTAGTGTTAGTTATGTGGAAGTTAAAATTCCTTAGAGAGACTTGATATTAATGTTTTATTGTTCACAAAAATGCTTTGGGGAATCAGGGTTCAAAATGATTGCCGATATTGGGTCTTTGGGTTCACTCATGACTCTGTAAAGTTCAGCTTCTTTTCAGCAAAACCTAGGTTCTGATTGTTCTTTGTAGGAGTTAGGGCAGGGCCAGGACCTTGAGGTGAAAAGCAGGATAGATTCACAGTGGTGAAGAAATGATATAAGGCTGGAAGAACAGCAGCAGGAAACCTAACTTCCCAGGGCTCATCCTCTTTTGTTTTTTTCTGATTTGCTGACACCAAACCCACTACTGTGCACCCTTATTTGCACTACGCTAGGGTGAAGTGAGAATCAAAAATCTGGAAAAGGGTTTGGAGACTTGGAGAAAGGGGGAAAGAAGCATGTCAGGTAGCCCTGTATTGTGGGGTGGGGTCAGGTGCTATTTAGTTAGAGTGGAAGAGAGGAGTTTCTGTTGTTATTGTTTCTTAATAGCTTCCATTCTCATGTAAGGGAATATTAACTAGTGTTTGCCTTTGTGGTTCTGCAAATAGAATATATCGTTTTTTTGTTTGTTTGTTTGTTTTTTTGAGACAAAGTCTCACTCTCTTGCCTGGGCTAGAGTGCCGTGGTGTCAGCCTAGCTCACAGCAACCTCAAACTCATGGGCTCAAGCGATCCTTCTGCCTCAGCCTCCCAGGTAGCTGGGACTACAGGCACACACCACCGTGCCTGGCTAATTTTTTTTTTCTATTTTTAGTTGTTTGGCTAATTTCTTTTTATTTCTCGCTCTTGCTCAGGCTGGTCTCGAACTCCTGAGCTCAAGCAATCCTCCTGCCTCGGCCTCCCAGAGTGCTAGGATTACAGCCGTGAGCCACCGCGCCCGGCCCTAATGCCCCTTCTTGATTACAGCATCTCTCCCTAAGATAATCACTATCCTCGATCCAGCACCATAGATTAGTTTTGCCTGTTTGTGAACTTTGTAATGGAATTATACTGCATGTATTCTTTTTGTGCTTGATCTCCTTTGTTCAGCATTGTATTTGTGAGGCTCATCTGTTTTGTTGCATGTGGCAATAGTTGGTGCATTCTCATTGCTATATTGTATTCTCTTACTTGATTATGCATACCATCATTTATTTATCCATTCTACTAGTGATAGGTATTTGAATTGTTTTCAGTTTGCGGTTATTGTGAATAGGGCTGCTATGAAGAATATTGCACATGTCTTAGTGAACATATGTACACATTTCTTCACATATATGAGAGCATATATATGAAGGAGTGGGAATTTCTGGGTTATAGATAATGACCAGTTTTCCAAAATTGTTAGGCCAGTTTATAACCCCATTCGGCAGTTAAGACATTTCACGGATCCTTTTTTCTTTCTCTAATGTGTTATAATCCACTTCTCCTACTGTTCTTTTTGGTATACAAATTGCCCCAAATTTGACTTGTGGAATCCCCTTCATGTGGTGTCCTCTGGCCTCTTGCCCCCATCATTCTTTGAGCACTCCCTTGATTGCTGGCACAAGTTGTTTAGCTGAGTGTTAAGGAATGCCTACACCGTGTAACCCAAATCCCTTTCAGAGGAAGTATTATTTGTTTTTAAAAATTGAGATATACCATGAAATTCCATTTGTGCAGTTCAGTGAGTTTTAGTATATTCACAAAGTTGTACAACTATTATATTACCACTGTCTAATTTCAGAATCATTCTTTTTTAAAAATTTAATTTAATTTTAATTTTTGAGTTGGGATCTTGCTGTGTTGCTCAGGCTGGACTGGGCCTGAGGTATCCTCTTGACTCATCCTTCTGTAGCTGTGACTGTAGGCATATACCACCACACCTGGCCATACTGTGTTGCCTGGGCTAGAGTGCCGTGGCGTCAGCCTAGCTCACAGCAACCTCAAACTCCTGGGCTCAGGCAATCCTCCTGCCTCAGCCTCCCGAGTAGCTGGGACTACAGGCATGCGCCACCATGCCCGGCTGATTTTTTCTATATATTTTTAGTTGTCCGATTAATTTCTTTCTATTTTTAGTAGAGACAGGGTCTCGCTCTTGCTCAGGCTGGTCTCGAACTCCTGAGCTCAAATAATCCGCCCACCTCGGCCTCCCAGAGTGCTAGGATTACAGGCTTGAGCCACTGCACCCGGCCAGCCATTTGTTTTTAATTGATAAACTTCTTACAACTGAGAGTCAATTTGGTATTACTAGTTTTTATAAATGCTGACCTTAAGTTTTTTGTTTTTACTTTTACCAATTTTGTGCGATATTGCTGTTTACTTCTGTATTAAGGGGTAGAGTATTTATAAGTCATTTATATTTGAAATTTTATTTGTATATTTTCAAATCAATATCAGATAAATCAGAGAAAAAAGGTAACCAATAGTTAGTGGTAAATAAGGCACTCAGAGCTGGAGGTAAGGCCTCTGATGGGCTCCCATTGACTCAGCGATTTCTGAAAGGTCCAGAGACCCGGCAGATAAATTGTTGCTGTGCCTTCAGGAGCTTTTCTTTCTGGTTTCTATATTTTCTCAGTTGTTTTTGCTAAACAAATGTAAACGTATTTTATATTAATATGATGTGTCTCAGTGCATTTTTTTATTAAACACAGACTAACAAAAAAACTTGAAGAAAGGAGAGAAGAGAAAAGGAAAGAGGAAGAACAGGTAAAGTTCATGTACTTAGCATCATTGTACTGTTCCATTAAGTGAGGGAATGTTTGATTATTCTATTCAATTTGGCAGACCTAGGATGGCTTCCTACTTACAGTTCAGTGTTGCAGCACAGTGAAGGGAATGATCTGTTTTCTCTTGTAGGATCATAATGTATACTTTTGTGTGTTCTTTTTGTAATCACTAGCAATAAATTAGTCCATGCTTTTTCCCTCTGCAACGAGTCTTTTACACTAAGAATAAAGTCTTTTACACTAAGAATAATGAGCTAAAATTATTTGCTTGAGGCAACAGATCAAATTTTTAATTCTTTTTTGTGAAAAAGAAATGTGTGGACATTCTGCTGAATTTTTCCTGTCACGTTGCGCATTCTAGTGCACCATTCATTTTTCTCACCAGTTATAACTAACTGTGCATCATCTCTTTGGGGTTCAAATATAGGATGATTATCAGTTCCTTCAAGCTAAATAAATGACTGCCACGTCGTCCCTGTAGAGTAACATGTTTTCCCTCAAAACCAAAGACTTTTAATTCTGCTTGCTTTCAAATTACACTGACTACATTATACTCTTTTTTTTTGAGACAGAGTCTTGCTTTGTTGCCCGGGCTAGGGTGAGTGCCGTGGCGTCAGCCTAGCTCACAGCAACCTCAAACTCCTGGGCTCAAGCAATCCTTCTGCCTCAGCCTCCCGAGTAGCTGGGACTACAGGCATGCGCCACCATGCCCGGCTAATTTTTTTCTATATATTTTTAGTTGTCCGATTAATTTCTTTCTATTTTTAGTAGAGACGGGGTCTCGCTCTTGCTCAGGCTGGTTTCGAACTCCTGAGCTCAAACAATCCGCCTGCCTCAGCCTCCCAGAGTGCTGGGATTACAGGCGTGAGCCATGACGCCCGGCCTATATTATACTCTTAACAGACCACTGGCAATGATTTATAAACTGATAGACATTTGACCATTAACCATGTTGTTAATAAATTCTTCCAGACCCTTACATTTTATGAAGTTTATAATTTTAACTGCACTCTACAACCGCTTTTCCTACATTGAAAATAATAGCTAGGGCAGATTGTAAAATTATGTTTTTGACTCATAAAACTTTTTCTTTAATTCAGAGAGAGATTAAGAAGGAAATTGAGAGGAGAAAAACTGGAAAAGAAATGTTGGATTATAAAAGAAAACAAGAAGAAGAATTAACAAAAAGAATGTTAGAGGAAAGAAACAGAGAAAAGGCAGAAGATAAGGCAGCCCGAGAGCGTATAAAACAGCAGATTGCACTGGTAAGTCTTACGTTTATTTATTTTATTTTATTTCATTTCACTTATTTATTTTTATTTATTTTTTTTGAGACAGGGTCTTGTTCTGTCATCCAGGCTGGAATTCAGTGATGCAATCAAAGCTCACTGCCTCAAACCGCTGAGCTCACATGATCCCCACACCTCAGCCTCCCAAATAGCTGGGACTACAGGAGCTTAAGCTCCATAACTGGCAAACTTTTTTTTTTTTTTAGAGACAGGATCTTGCTATGTCTGGTTGCCCTGTCTGGTTTTGGACTCCTGGCCTCAAGCAGTGCCTCAGCCTTCCGAAGTATTGGGATAACAGGCATGACCCACTGTGTCCAGCCAAGTTTATTTTTTAATGCTTGACTCAGGGCATTTGTCAAATTGTTTTTCTATGCACAGTGACTTTGGATTACCACCACACAGTGCACACAAAAATAATAGGTAGATTTTAGTGACTCAAAAGAGTATCAATCCTTAGCTTCCCTTTATTAGAAATTGTGTATTGACTTATAATAGTTAAGATTAAAATTAAGTTTTTTCCAAAGTGATTTTTTCCATATTTTGTTATGTTATGAATTTTATCAATAGTCAAAAGGCAGCTTTGAAAGATTCCCTAGGAAATAAGCTAAGAATTGATTACCTAGCAATCTTCTCTAGTCATAAGCTCTTTTTTTGCAGTATTCAAAGGATTTAGGCACATCATAAAGCTTAGTTTGCAACAGTTGCTTTTAGAATTAAGCAGTTTTAATGCATATGAAAACCACTCCTACCTTAATAATGTTTATTCATTGGTCATTCAACAAATATTTATTGAGCATCTACTTTGTGCCAGACCTCCTTCCAGGCTCTGAAGATACAACAGTGAGCAAATTCATGTCCTTGTTTCTTTAACCATAATTATGGTCTCTGACAGTTGATAAAACTAAAAATTATCAGATCCAGAATTGTAAAGTTCACATATGGCTGTAAAGAATTTCATACATATTTGTATTTGTTCCCTATGTTTGGAAATGTATGAATAAATCATTCTGGCAGTGAAAAGTAATGGAATACCTAATGATGTTTTAAAGGACCGTGCAGAGAGAGCTGCTCGTTTTGCTAAGACAAAGGAAGAAGTAGAGGCTGCCAAAGCTGCTGCCTTGCTGGCCAAACAGACGGAAATAGAAGCTAAGAGGGAATCTTACACAAGAGAAAAAAGGTACTATATTTCATGCTGAAACATCTCTGTACACACAGGGGCTGAGGAGAATCTTTGTGGGCTGGTTTTTAACACTTCTGTGCTGTGGTTATAAGTAGTCAATTCCAGAGGGACATATTGACCAGCTTGGCAGTTCCCAGTGATATCTGTCATTGAATGTGAGTGTATACTATAAATGTACAAAATAAATAACATTTAAAAGAAGGCCCAAGAAATCTATTTTCTAAAGACAGAATGCTCATACATCAAAATGATTATAGTGATTATCTCATGTGTAGTAGGATTCTTTAGTTGCCAGAATCCCAAATCAGATAGGATTATGCAAAAGAGGGAATATATTGGCTCTGCAATTCAGAATTCCTGGGGTGGATTTGATTAGGCATAGCTAGATCCTGGGACCTAAAGGATATCTTACAAATTTTTTCTCTCTCTTTTTAATCTTAGTTTCTTCTGTTTAGCTTCATTCTCAGAGAAACTCTCCAAATGATGTTTAGGAGAGCCCAGCCCCTGGCACTCTCAGAATCTTGAGTTTAGGATCCCAAAGAGAAGAGATGAATCCTTTCTCCCAATGCTTCTATCAGTCACTTAAGAGAATTCTGACTGGCCTTGCCTGGGTCATGTGGCCACCTCCAGGCCAATCACAGTGTTCACTTGTATGGGCTCTATGGTGGGAGTTGGTGACATGCCCACCCTGCGGTGAAGGAGGTGGGGGAAATGTTATTGATTATCCTACCAGAACGAAAGACATGTAGCAGGGGTAAGGCAGTTCCCAAAACAAAAATATGTTGAGAAGACAAAAAAAGTACATCTTGCTAGTTGGATTATGGTTAATATTTATTTTTTTCTCTATGCTTTTCTGTATTTTCATATTGGATAATTAACAAGTATTAATAATTTGTAATCAGAAAAAAATTTTCAAAATAATTTTCCAAAAATAATGAAATACAAGGTTGCAGTGAGCTATAATCAGTCCACTGCACTCCAGCCTGGGTGACAAAGTGAGCCCCATCTCAAAAAATAAATAAATGAATGAAAAATGAAATAATTTAACAAAAGCATAATACTTGTACACTAAAAACTACAAAATGTCGAAAGAATTAAGATCCAAGTATGTGAAAAGATACCCTATATTCATAGATCAGATGACTTAATATTTTTAAGATGGCAGTACTCCTCAAACTAATATATAGATTCAACATAACCCCTCTCAAAATTCCAGCTGGCTTTGTTTTGCAGAAATTTTAATCCTAAAATTCATATGGAAATGCAAGAGACCCCGAATAGTGAAATAATCTGGAAAAAAAAGATGGAAGACTCATACTTCCTGATTTTCAAACTTACTGCAAAGCTACACTAACCGATACCCTGTCGTACTGGCATAAGGATGGACGTATGGGTTAATATAATAGAATTGAGTCTTTAGAAATAAACCGTTGCATTTAGGATCAATTTATTTTTGAAAAGGATACCAAAACCATTCAGTGGGAAAGAATAGTCTTTCAACAGATGGTGCTTGGACAACTGGATATCCACATGGCAAAGAATGAATTTGACCCTTACCTCACACAATGTAAAAAATCCACACCAAATGGATCATCTACCTAAAAGTAAAACTATATAGAGTATAATTTTTAGAAAAATAAAGAGGTGTAAATCCTTGTGAGTAGACAGTAGATTCATAGACATGACTAGAAAAGGACAAGCAACAAAAGAAAAAAAAAAAATTTAGGTTATTAAGTATGAAATGTCCCATTTCCTTAAGTACTAAATTTGGCAGTTGGTATCTCGACATTTCACTTTGACACTTGTTATTGTGAAGATATTAATACATCCTCATTCTTTCAAATGCACAGTTTGGCTTGTGATTATCTTTCAAAGTATTTTTTAGAGCAATTTTTGTGAAACCGTGGATAAGTTAAAAATTTGTGTTATTTTTGAATATGAGTTCTGTTGTGTAACCAATGCAGTACAGACAGCTCGAAATATCAACAAAGTGTTTGGAAAGGATGTGGCTAATGAACGCACAGTACATCCATGGTTTGAGAAGTTCCATTCTGGTCATTTTAATCTTGAAAATAAGCCATGTGGGCGACCTGAGACCAAGGTGGAGAATGATGAGCTGAAAGCTGTAGTGGAAGCGCGTCCATCTCAACCTATGCGTGAATTAGCAAGGTTTGTTGTCACAATTCCAGCAATATTGGGCTGTTTGAAACAAATTGGCAAGGTAAAGAAGCTGGATAGATGGGTTCTGCATGAACTAAATGAGCGTCAGAAGAGAAATCGTCTGAAAGCTTGCTCTTTTTTGCTGTCATGACATAAAGGTGGACCATCTCTACACCATATCGTTACGTGTGAAGAAAAATGGATTCTTTTGATAATCGCAAGCATTTGGCACAATGGTCGGGTAAAGATGAAGTGCCAAAACACAGTCCAAAACCAAATATTCATCAAAAAAAGCTAATGGTGTCTGTTTGGTATTATCCACTACAGCTTCATGAAACCTGGTCAGTTGATTACAGCAGATATCTACTGCAACCAGTTGGACGAAATGATGAGGCTGCTTGCAATGAAGCAGCTGAGATCAATCAATAGAGACAGGCCAATTCTCTTGCAAGACAACACTCAATCACGTCAGAGGCTGGACTTGGAAACTCTCTCATCCACCATATTCACTCCTTGCACAGGAGTTCTGCTCTTAAGTATATATCTAAGAGAACTTAAAACATGTCCACACAAAAACCTGTATGTGAATATTCATCATAATATTCATAATAGTCAAAATGTAATAATCCAAATGTCCATCAACTAAAGAATGCATAAAGAAAATGTATATCCCATACAGTGGAATATTATTCAATAAAAAGGAAGGAAGAACTGATACATGCATCAACATGATTGAACCTTGAAAATACAATGTTCCATGAAGGAAGCCAGTTATACAATGTCACATAGTGTGTGATTCCCTTATATGAAATGCCCAAAATAGGCAAATCCATAGAGACAGTAGACTAGTAGTTGCCAGGGTCTCGGGGAGAAGGAATAGGGAGTGACTGCTAGTGGATTCAGAGTTCCTTTTTAGGGTGAAGAAAATGTCCTGGAATTAGATAGTGGTGGTGGTTGCATAACTTTGAATATATAAAAAAAAACCACTGAATTGTGTACGTTAAAAGGGTTAATTTTATGTGAATATCTCAATAAAGCTATTGTTAAAAAATAATAAAAGATCTGATATTGTAGAAAAAAATCTATTGCCATTGCACATTCCACGTCCATCTTCTCTAACTTTTAATTTCATTGTTTGAGAATATATAGAGGTAAAGATGCTGACTTTAATTTTCTTTTTTCATAGCACCATTGCAAGAATTCAATTCCGTCTTCCTGATGGTTCTTCCTTTACAAATCAATTCCCTTCTGATGCTCCTCTAGAAGAAGCAAGGCAGTTTGCTGCAAAGGTAAATTTATGTCTTGAGTTGTAGTAGAGATAAATGTATAGGTATTAAATTGTAGGAACGGAAAGTTTCAAAGCGGAACTGAAGACTGTGAGTGAATCATGACTTATCTCCAAGATGGAGGCACAAGACACCTCTGAGACATTGTGGGACTTCTGTTGTGTATTAGTGTATATGGCAACAGCATATCTGCTTGTTATGCAGAAGCAGGAATTTGCTGATACTATATAGTAGGCTCTGGAAACCTTTCTCAATGGTTAGTATACTCAACTGGAGGAGTGAAAAACAAGTGGTTTCCCAACGGTCTAGTCTGAGGGAGTTGTCCTACTCACTGGAAATGGAAGTCGTTTTTCTTGGTCCTCTCCATTTTCTGCAGATTGCTTAGGGGCTGGCTATTTTCCTACCATCTACCTGTTGGCTAAACTAAAAGAGGAGTAATCTTTATTTGACAAGTACCTTCTTCAGGAATTTACTTCCAAAATGTAGCCTTACTCAAAATCTAAGTGGGATATGAAATTTTATATCCTAGAAAATAAGATATGAGTTATTTCCAATTTGTTTTTATCTCCTGATTTGTTCCTTATTCAAAGTGGATTCTGGGCATCCGATGTCCTTTAGGTTCTAGGCTCATTATATACCAGTATTTTTCTCATATATATGTATAGCTTCAAGGTTAAAATTGGGGGTTTGGTGCAGATCTTTCTGCCAAATCTTTTCTCCCCATTTCGTTTTCTCCCTCACTTATGGGTCCCAAAAGAAGGGTACCTCAAAAGCTGTCTGCCTTCCTGCACTTGTGAGCTAGGCTAGACAATGTTAAAGCTTCCCCTGGCTGGACACCGTGGCTTACGCCTATAATCCTAGCACTCTGGTAGGTTGAGGTGGGAGGATTGCTTGAGGTCAGGAGTTTGAGACTAGCCTGAGCAAGAGTGAGACCCCGTTTCTATAAGAAATTTAAAAATTAGCCAGGCGTGGTGGTGCGTGCCTATATTCCCAGCAACTTGGGAGGCTGAGGAGGAGAATCCATGGAGCCCAGGAGTTTGAGGTTGAGGTGAGCGAAGATGTCATCACTGCACTCTAGCCAGGATGACAGAGCAAGACTCTGTCTCAAAAAAAAAAAAGCTTCCCCTAAACTTTATAGCAGAACCAATTCCAAATAGACTGTTTTGTTCTTACTTTGTTTTGGGACCTCCTGCAGGGTGTCCCCTGTCCTGAGTTTTAGTGCTTCTGCAACAGGTAAATGAGGGGGGGGACTACAGGGAAAAAGAGAGATCTTTGATTGCATCTATGAAACTCTGCCTCAGTACAGTGAGCAAATTTTTCGTTTTTATATGTCCTTAGGTTAGATTGAGAACAGTAAGGAGTATGTGTGTGACTTTTGGTTAAAAAAAAGTTACCGAAAAAATGAGTTGGGCTATTTCTTTGGAATCTTCTAGGGAAAGATATGCAGTTGTGTAAGATTTTGTAAGTATAGGTGACTTAAAATTGTGAAGATGATTGTGCTGCTGCCCAGGTAAATTCCTGGATCTGGAATTATATGTGTAGTGTAGGCTAATTATGGACCATTTTTGCCTTGAGACAAGGAAGAGGCTAAAGCTCCTCAAGTTATATATATGAGGGAAATACTGGTCTAGTCCAGATTTTTAATAGGGAGTACCTGTAATCTAAATGTGTGTTTGTGAGACATTAATATAAGTTTGCCAAAGGATAGTGAAATCCCTAATGAAGAACTGTAACCATACTTAAAGGAGATACATAATTGCTCATTTTTATTCCATTTATTTATATGTTTTTAGGAACTATATTCTTTCTACTTTGTAATCATCTTTGAGTTATAGAAACTTTTAAAAACATTAGGATTTGATAGCTTTTCACCTATTTTTGGAAGTACAGTTTTTATAAGTGGCCTTTGAGTTTACATTTAAATGAACTTTAAGGATTAAGGCAATTTTAATGAAGTAGTTATTTTGGATGCATGTTGGTTATATAATACCTTAATTTTAAAGGGCACTATCATAAGCTTTTTAAAACTTATGTTGTGTTACAGACTGTTGGCAACACTTACGGTAATTTTTCATTAGCAACCATGTTTCCCAGGAGGGAATTTACCAAAGAAGATTATAAAAAGAAATTATTGGATTTGGAACTTGCCCCAAGTGCTTCAGTGGTACTCTTGCCAGTATGTATATACCTACATACTTTTTCTATTCTTATAATTTTCTATTTGTTCTACTTATCATTTTTTATAATTAGCAGAAAGGAAGGGCAGAGGTGTACAGTGAGTAATTAAAATCCAAATTATCCAAAAATTAGACCAATTTATTGTTCTATTGTCCTGTGCTTTACATTATTTGTATTGCTAATATTGCTAGTGAGGCACTACATAGTTTAATTTTCAACTTTTTTCTCACTTATTTTTGTATATAAAAAATGACCAGTAGGAGAGGAAAATCAGAAATGCAGATTATCTAATAATCCACACTTAATATCTTTTATATATAGCGCTACTGTTCACCAAGTTTTTAAAAAAACATGTTATTTTAACATAAAAATAACAATATAACATTAATTTTCAAACAGATTATCCCATTTGATCCTCACAACAATATTTTAATCTCTGATAAAGAAAAGAGGCTCAGAAAGCTTAAATGATTGCCAAGGTCCCACCTTAAGTTCCAGAGCTGAGATAAGTGCCTGGGTCTCTTCTGTCCTGGTTGGTGTAGTTTCCCTGCTCTACACTAGAGCTCCTCGCCTAAAACAGTGAGCTCTCCAATAATCAGGATTTGTATTCACTGAGGTTTGTAATCCTTCCTTTTTTTTTTTTTTTTTTTATCAGCAAGAAAGACTTTTATCAAAGTTAATTTTATTACAAAAGTTTACTTTCCTTAAAAATAGTTGGTTCATTTCACCAAAAACTGCTTTGTACTTTGTATATTATAATTACCCAAAAAACAGCTCCAGGAGTTCCCAGAAACTTTATATACATGAAAAGTAGCAAAAGATGGTAATTTTATTTTCTTGCAGTAAATTAAAATCAATTGGACCTCCTTTTCCTGATAAAAGGTTTATCTAGAACCTTGAGAGTGAGGTGATTGTGCCGATGTAATTTTTATCTGGGCTTATTTATTTCTTAATTTCTAGGCGGGAAGACCAACTACATCCATTGTACACTCTTCCAGCGGAGACATTTGGACATTGTTGGGGACAGTACTTTACCCATTCCTTGCCATCTGGAGATTGATTAGCAATTTCTTATTTAGTAATCCTCCTCCTGCACAGACTTCAGTGAGAGTAACATCATCGGAACCCTCAAACCCTGCATCATCTAGCAAATCAGAAAAAAGGTATCTGTTTGTGTTTTCCCCATTTGCAAAATAAATAAGTCCTAATACCTTTTTCAAAATAAAAAATTTCTGTTATGAGTACTTTGCCTTCTTTCTGTATATGTCCTCCCCAGGGAAAAAACCCAAATGTTCTGAAACTTTATTCTTTCTCCTGGGAAGCTCACTACCTGAGTTTTCTCAGCAAGCTTTCTAAAACCTAGTCCATGGAAAGCAACTTCACCTCTGCTGGCTTTATTTTTTCATTCATTGAATTTTCTTTATCCCATCACTGTCAAGGCAGATTTTTTTTTCCAGGTATATAATATCTTCCTTGCTAACCATGTTTTGCCTGAAAAGATAATTCATTCCATTAATTGCTTATGGTCATCTTACATAATTTCTTTAGAAGAATCATTGTGCTTTGATAATTTTAACCCTGGTGGTTCTCTGATCTACTGGCTGACAGTCTTGTCTGGGTCAGTCAGAGAAACACCAAATTGAGGAAACTAGTTATTGCCTTGAAAGTGGTGCCTCCTTCAGAGATATTTCAGACTAATCCCTTAACCAAGAGGCCCAGCTTTTATAGCAGAAAGCAAAGGTTAGAATGGTAATATGGACAACTCTGACAATTTTAGCTCATACCACTGTTGTTTGTTAAGATTGTGCATATTAGGAAAAAAAATCCTTGACTATAATAAGTGAATCAAAGAGGAAATAAAACTGAAATTATATACTATTAAGAAAGTATTAACGGCCGGGTGCGGTGGCTCACGCCTGTAATCCTAGCACTCTGGGAGGCCCAGGTGGGTGGATCACTCAAGGTCAGGAGTTTGAGACCAGCCTGAACAAGAGCGAGACCCTGTCTCTACTAAAAAATAGAAAGAAATGATCTGGACAACTAAAAAATATATAGAAAAAAAATTAGCCGGGCATGGTGGCGCATGCCTGTATTCCCAGCTACTCGGGAGGCTGAGGCAGGAGGATCGCTTGAGCCCAGGAGTTTGAGGTTGCTGTGAGCTAGGCTGGCGCCACGGCACTGTAGCCTGGGCAACAGAGCCAGACTCCGTCTCTAAAAAAAAAAAAAATATTAACAATAAAAATAATAACATATTCAGATGAAAAAAGATTATGCATATTTGAAACAGGATAATAGGAAATATTTTCCTAGAAAGTGAGATTGTGCCCCTTCTAATAATTAAATAACAATTTATTATAGTGTATTTATGTATTTATTATATACTTCTGTTAAACACTCTATGAGGCCGTTAATAAGCATTATAGCAAATCCTCACACCAATCCTATGTAATAAGTAGTGAAAAATCCTTGCCTCTGCCCTTGGTATGGAGATCCCTAGTCATGTTTTATTCATTCTGTAGGTGATTTATATAAATATTGTGATTGGGTTGATTTAGCCTTTATCTTGATTTATTTCTTAACTGTTAGAAATACCAGTCACCTCTTTAATACATTACTCAAGTGAAGACTCAGAGAAATTTCTCTAGTCATAGAATAGCATTCAAAGTAGGCCTTGTTAGTACTGAATTTCAGAACTCTTACTGAGCAATGAGTGGAAGCATTTAATCCTGAATTACTGTAATATGGGATAGCTTATTGTGTGGATTTTTAAAACTTTTTTCAAATAAGAGAAAAGGTCTTGGGTTGGGACAAAGGATAAGACGAATATGTGTCTAAGAGTGTGAAGCTTTGTGTTCTGCTATTGTTTTTCCTCTTTTTCTGTCTCCCTCTAGTGTTATAAAATTCTGTTAGCTTAAATTTTACCCTTATTTCCTAACTATTTTCAGATGAGGAAGTCCTCTTTGTTTTTTTTTTTTTTTTTTTTTTTGAGGCAGAATCTCACTCTGTCGCCTGGGCTAGAGTGCTGTGGTGTTACTTATAGCAACCTCAAACTCCTGGCCTTAAGCAATCCTCCTGCTTCAGCCGCCCCCCACTCCACCCCGGTATCTGAAACCGTAGGCATGCACCACCATGCCCAGCCAATTTTTTCTATTTTTAGTAGAGATGGGGTTTTGATCTTGCTCAGGCTGGTCTTGAACTCCTGAGCTCAAGAGATCCTCCTGCCTTGGCCTCCCAGAGTGCTAGGGTTACAGGCATGAGCCACCGCGCCCGGCCTTCCTCTTTGTTCTTAATTGTTTATAAATAAGTCATTATTAAAGATTTCGAGAGGATTAAAAGTTGCTATTTCGTTATAGCAACAAGAAACGAAAAAAAAATTGCTGATTAGCCATATCTGTCAATTAAGTTGTAACTAGAGCTTTGGATAACCTCTAGGGTGCTGTGTAAGTGCTCATGCTCTTCTCAAGCTTGGTTAAGTCATCAGGAAACACATGGAAATGGAAAATGTGATTTGGCTGGTCTGGCTTAGAGAACAGACGAAGTTAAACTGCCAAAGACTAATAAAGACACACACACACACACACACACACACACACCAAAAAAAAAAAAAAAAAAGACTAATAAAGTTTAATACTGCATTAATATAATGCAGTATTAGATATAATTATCTCCTGTGGACTTTTCTTACCTTACATGGTGTTACAAGTAAAGTATAGTTGCCTATACTAATGGAAGTTGGAAGGAACTAGCTTCGTATTACTATTGTTTTTATGTCATCTTCCCTTTTCTCCTTTTGTTACAATCAGGGAACCAGTCAGAAAAAGAGTGCTGGAAAAACGCGGGGAAGACTTTAAAAAGGAGGGGAAGATATATAGATTGAGGACTCAAGATGATGGTGAAGATGAAAACAACACTTGGAATGGAAATTCTACTCAACAGATGTAGTGCAACAAGTACAATATGTGCAATAATCATTGTTTCTCCTGTTAATTCAACTAAAATTCTACTGGAAAAGTGGACTGCTTTATGTATTCCAACTGATTTATAAAATGTCTCTTTATTCCTGCTTAGTGGGTGTGGGTTAAAGTTGTTTAACTCAGAAAAGTCAAAACATAAGATAACTGGCTGCTTGGTCCTTGCATATGGTAACCACTGCTAGAATCCTAGAAGAATCAACAGGCTTGCCACAGGCTGCCTCCATCCGCTTCTTACTTAGTATTTCGTATACTCATTAGCTCTGTGCTCTCAGATTACACATTTTGTTTAGAGCTATTTTGCTCCAAGACTCTTAAGCCCACACAAAGTAACTGGTAAGTCACTGAGTAATTTGACTCTGAGTCAGAGCATTTTAACTAGCCAATCAGATGATAATTTATGTTTAACTTTTCTTTTTGCTCATCAGCTGCAAGCAGAATCTTGTAGTTTTTAATCTTAAATACTGAATAAAAAATCTTTTTCAAAAATCGGAATGATCTTATTTTTGCTTTAAGTTTTGTTATCCTAGGATCTTTTTGTTGCACAGGGCTCTGGGGAGGTCATGTGTCTCTGATTTTTTTTTTCCCCCAGTACTGCCCTGGAGCTATGCCAGGAACGTAGCTGGCCACCTTACCTTAAATATCACTGAAGAAAGAAATGTTCTGACACATACTGATGCCATGTCACTGTCTCTCCTAAGTCAGTGAGGCATCACTTTACAAAAAGTTATGGTATGTTAAGGTCTTTGTTTTCATTGGGTGCAAAACAGCTGCTAGTCCACAACCTAGTTTTCTCTCTCATTTTTATACTGAAGCTTTGTCCTCAGTAATCACACTTCAAGGACCTAAAGTGCCCACAGGACAAGAAGTATAGAAGACATACCTTTATTCATTTGGTTATTCTTAAGAATTTGAAGGAGACAATAAGAATCTGAAGCTGACTTACATGCTACTTTATCCATAATGTTTTTGGTAGTGAAGACGACTGACAATGTCTGAAAATAGTGCCTCTGTTTTAGATTGGAAGATAGCACTCTTGAGCAAACATACGGAAAGACTCTGACTTTATTTTGTAATGGGAGGAAGAAATTTTCTCAGAGCGAACTTTTTCATTTATGAAATAGCAGTGACTTTAAAAAATGGTAATAGTCATTTTTGGCAAGGAAACAGGCTATGCTGTTGGTAGGAATGAAAACCAGTGTAATCTTTCTGAAAAATATTCATCAGAAACTTTAAATATTTCATATTCTTTGATCTAATAACTTGTTCTAAAGAATCATCAAATGCAGACAGTGTTTAGGTATAAACATTAAGTATTATTTATTTTACTCAAGAACTGGAAACCAACTGAATTCCTTCTGCAGAAGTAATTTTTGATGAGGGGAAATGAATGGTATACTAATTAGCAACTCAATTTACCATATGTTTATTGAGCACCTGTTACATGTTGGGGGGAAAAGAAGCAGGATCCAGAGCTATAGAGGGTGTCCTCAGCTTTGTAAACACATTTTCTATATAGATAGTACTAGGTATTAATATATATGTAAAGAAAGAAGAAAACACACCAAAACATTAATAGCGGTAAGAGTGGTTATATGTGGCTTTAGGGAATTTTTTTGCACCCTCATGTTTTCCCAATTTTCTTTAGTGACCATACTATTTCCATAACTTAAAAAGTTGAGTTTGAAAAAGAAAATCTCTCTAGCGAGCATCCCATTTAAGTAAGTTTGTCATCTTTAAAAATGCAGCAATATGTGATATTTTTTAAAAAAAAAACCTATCAATGGGTGTGACCCTACTAATAACTATTAGAAATACATTTGGAAAAACGTCAAGTACCTCAAGTCAGTTTGCCTTGAAAAAAATCAAATTTAAATCCTAGAAAAATGTACCTGAAAGAATCCTTCATAATTTTTGAGTAGCAAGATCCCTCCTCAATTTTATATTTTGAGGTATACATGGCAAAAAATTTAAACAGTATATAAGGCTATAAAATGAAAATGAAGTCCCCCTCTTCACATCTTAACCCCCAATACTATTCTCCAAAGGTAATCTAGTAAGTTTCTTATGTAATTTTCAGAAAATTTTTATGCATATATAAGCAAATATGTAATCTTTATTTTTTAAATAAATGGGATCATATTGCATATACTACCCTGCATCTTGCTTTTTTACTTACATTATCTCGATCTCTGTCAACACGTAGCTACTGCATTCTTATTAATGGCGCATAGCATTCTATTTGATGAACGTACCCCATGCTCTGGGGGCATTCAGTGGTTATTACAATTTTTTTGTTTCTATTACAAACATTGCTACAGCCTTGGGGGGGAGATATTTTTATTGTGAAAATATACCTGTAAGATATGTTACATAACTTACTAAGTCAAAGGGTGTTTGCAGTTTGGATTATGAAAGATGCTGTCAAATTGCCTCCTCTAAAGGCTGTATGAATTTGGACCCCCACCAACAGTGTATGAAAATGGCCACTCCCCACACCTTGCCAACACTGCTTTATCATACTTTTCATCTTTGTCAACATGATAGATGAAAAATTTATATGCATTTATATGCACTGTATTTATCGTGAATGAAGTTGAGCATCTTTTAATGTTGATCATTTTGACTTATTTTGAGAACTGTGTATTTGCCAATTTGTATTTATTTCTTTTTCATATTTTTCTTAGAATTCCATGGACACTAAGAAAATTCTCCCTTTGCCAGCAGGTGCTGTTAAGTATTTTCTCCCTCTCTTTTGATGAGTACGTTTGGTAATTTTTTGCCACAATATTTTCAGTGTTTTTCTTTATGGCCTCTGGGTCTTGAGTCTTGCTCATAAATACCTTTCCCACTTCAAAAATTAATTTTTTTGTGTCCTAGAATTTTCGTGGTTTCCTTTTTTTATGTTTAAATCTGGTATCCAAGGAAAGGATCTGCCTCCCTCTTGTACCTGTGGCTGCTGTCCTCAAGAGCTGACCTGTTGACCCACCCCCATTTATGGGACCTTCCATCTTACCTCCCTGCCGCTGCTTTGGCGCGCCGCCTTTGTCTCATCCTCTTGTTTCCCTAGTTGGTTGTGTGTCTAGGCTCTGTTTTCCTTTCTTGATCTATTTGCTCTCTGTTACCAGGCTACTTTAATAACTAGCTTTATAATATGTTTTAATATTCTTTTTCCTCCACATTTAGCCTGGCTCTTCTCCAAGTTCATTTAATATGTGAAACTTTGTTAGTGTTGCCCCCCAAAAAAGTTATATTGGATTTTGAGATTGATCTAGGTATAATTAACAGCTTATGATGCTGAGCGTTTCTGCCCAAGAAATGTCTTTACTATCAGTTTCAGAACCACCCTCACTCCTGTCTGACAAATTCTTCTTATCTGTTGATGGAGAAAAATGCACATGCACCACAAGTTGCTGACTGCCAGGTTGGGACTCATGACGGCAGAACGTTTTGATAGGAATTTTCATAGACATAAAAATTCAGGTAAGGAATGCTTACAAAAAACAAAATTTCAAGATGATCAGTCTTTTTAAATCAGCCAAAAATTACCCTTTATTTTTTAAAAAAAAACATTTCCCAGCTATCTAGAGACAATACATAATCAAGTTTTTAAGTGTTTCACACAGATTGTGTCACTAGCGCATTTGGGGGGTTGATAAAGACCACATCTCTCCCTCTCCCGCCACTGCTCTGGATACGTTTGTGAATGGATAAACAAAAGGAGGAGGTGTGCTTTCCATTGCTGTCTCTACATTGTGCGTGCCAAAGACGGACGTGGTCTTTGGCCTTAAGAAGCCAACAGAGAAATGTGCAGTTCCGGCATAAAGCAGTCAGATTGTCATAGGGGATGGTTACAAGCCAAGCAGAGGACGAGTATCTTCCTGGGGAATTCAGGGAAGCTGTCCAGAGGAGAAGGTGCATGATTTCCGCTGAGACCTGAAGGCACTTTCAGAAGAAAAGGCACCCTAGGCCGAAGGAGTAGCATTTGGGAAGACACAAAGGAATGTGGGATAGTCAAGGACCTACAGGCAGTTCAGAGCTACCACAAGTTGGGAAAGGAGGAAGGGAAACGGGCCAAATGAACGAAGGTCTGATCACACGTCTGATAGATGGGAGAGCTGGGGACTGCACAAGAGGTGGCAGCTGCGGTGTTTGAGGGATGGAGAACAAAGGATTGTACGGAGGCCACCTCTTTCTGCATGTTGTGGTATCCGCCCCAGGCAATATGATGTGACGGAAAGTCTTGGTCTGGCGGGAAAGCTCAGTAGGAGCCCCAGGTGTCTTGTGTGACTTAACTGCTGTTGAACCTACTTTCTCAAGAAGAAGCAACCATGGGAGATGGGACACAGTCACAGAACTGTTTTGATTTTCTGAGAAACACAAGCTATGAGGCTGGGGGGAGCCTGAGGAAGGGCCGGAGATGACATTGCAGTCTGTCTACGCAGTGGAGTTGATTTCTCATAGAAAGGATGTCTATGGTTTTTACTCACAATTCCACCTTTCGCAAGGCTGAAACTTACAATAGCCCAGTTAATTAAGTGGTTCACAGACCCCACCAGATCAGTTCTGTATCTGCACATTTCCAGAAGAGCCACCTGCTGTCTCCGCCAATGCCCAAATGAACTCTGATACGGGGCAAAATGCAGATATTTTCATTTTAATCAGGACTTTATGGAGAAGTTGAGTACAGGCAGAATCCAAGACCCTAGGAGTTTCGTGGCCAGCAAAGGTATGTAAAGGAACCGGGCCTGCTTCACAGAACTTGAGGAGGTGGCGACTTGTCAGAATGAAGAAACAGGGCTCAATTCCTGTTGGCTTGGCTGTGTTTTCCTTTGCTTGGAGCTCTTGCAGAGCAGGTATGACAGAAGTGCCGAGCCACAGGCTCCAAGAAGCACAAGAGAAAAGAGAACGTACAGAGCCGTCTCTGCCTCCGCGGTGCTGAGCGTCAGCCCCAGGAACTGAACGTCCCCTTGCACGGGGCTGAGGGCGGGGCCGGCATCTAGGAAAGGACAACAGAGTGGTTCGTGCTCTAGTGCTGAGTGACCAGATCTATGTGACCCCAGATTAGGCCCTTGCTGGATCCTTGGAGTCCGGAGGCTACTCAGGACCCCAAATCTGCACAGCCAGAGTGGGCGCATTGCCGAGGTGGTGCCCATCCCCTTTCACTGGTATTAAGAGCCCCTGATTGAAATGAAGCGGTTTTATTTTTTAAACATCTGTAGCAGCAACCAGAATACAAGCTGAGTACCCCTTATCCAAAATGCTCGGGACGAGAAGTGTTTTGGATTTGGGAATTTTTCAGATTTTGGAATATTTGCATATACATAATGAGGTATCTTGAAGATAGGACCTAATTTTAAACAACATTCATTTATATTTCATATATACCTTATCCACATAGTCTAAAGGTAATTTATACAATGTTTTTAATAGTTTTGTGCATGAAACAGTTTTAACTGTGTTTTGATTGCAACCTGTCACTTGGATTCCGGTGTGGAATTTTCCATTGGTGTTGTCATGTTGGCACTCAAATGTTTCAGATTTTGGAGCGTTTGGGATTTCGAATTTTCAGATTAGGGATACTCAACCTGAATAATCTAAACTGGATAATTGTAATTTACATTCGTACAGTGATTTATACTCTTTCAGCCATTCAACAAATATCGGGCACCCACATCATGCAAAGTGCCCTTTGTTCCAATGCAAGAATGGCTGGAGCATTCAAAGAAAATAGATATTGGTTGAATGAAGTGGATGGTGAGGCAGAGAGGAGGGTAATAAACTAGAAGAAAAATAGACTGAAAGGGGTCCTTCCCCTCACCCTTTACCTTTTGGTTTTAGTCCCTCCCAGAGCCACATCTCACCTTCCGGCTGTTGGAGGCAAGGGTCAGGCCCTGCCTCGGGGTCAGGGAAGCCATTGCACCGGATTATAGAGGCATAGAACTTGGCTGATGCTCTGGGGACCCTTGGCAGAGAAAGGTCAGTGTAGTTCACAAAATGCAGACCAAATTTCTCTGAGAAGCCTGTGGCCCACTCGAAGTTGTCCATCAGAGTCCAGACCGTGTATCCTCGAAGGTCCACCTTATCCTGCACAGCTGCCCAAACACAGAGGCCCAGGCATGAGCTCTCCTCGTCTCAGAAGACACCTTCCTGCCATGTCCACGGAAGCCAGGGGTGCCCACAGCTCTCCCCACCACTCCAACTCACTGATCGGGGTGAGCTTTGGCTTTAGCCCTTTGAGAGAGTTGCCCCTTCTTTTGCATGCAATGATTGTTAGCAGGTCCTCTGCGAATGGAGCTGCAGAGCCGCCAGCATCTTTCTAGAAAGGCTCAGCCCTGAATGGGAGTCGGGAACACCGGCAGACTAAGCTAATGACACTGGGTCATCTACACTCCTCGCTGTGTATCTCAGGATATTGGTCTTGGTCAGTGCCTTAAAATGTTAATACTCTTCCCTTTAGAAAATAAGATTTTAGCTGGGAAGGATTATCTAACCGTTTCCTTTGGCCAGAGCATTGCTCTTTCTCTTTTACTCAGCATTGCTTTCCATTCCCTTATTTTCATAGTCCCATCCCAAGTTGTTAGGGCTGAGCCAACGGTCTCAAACTTCTGCTTGGGGAACAAAAGACCCTACAACCACCCAGCCTACTGCTCCCAGCCCCTGCCCAGGCCGTCCTCAGGAGACATCAGACATTAGGAAGGATCCAGGGGAGCAGGTGACTCAGACCAGGAACCGAGGTCTGGCTGGTGTCAGGCCACTGGGTTTGCTTGCTGGGCTTAGCTCTAGGAAGCAAAAAGCTGGGAGTGCAGCGCTGAAGAAAAGCTTAAACCCAGCAGGAGTGAGAAGCCTCATCGTTCTCTTCTTACTGTGGCTCCAGGATGCAGTAGCTCCCTCCTGCACATGTTGGGTGTTCCCGACAGGGAAAGGTGTACGTTGAGGAAGGGGTGGGCCTGTCCTACCTTTGAGGGCCTCGTTGATGTAAGTGCGGAGGTAGTAGATCCTTAAAGTGTC